ATACGCAGTGAAGGATATAATGAAGGATGCATGGAAGCAAGAGATGCAGCTAAAGAGGTTCACAGTGGCCAATCACGATGGGTTTTAGGCTAAGGGGCTGAGATTTTATCCTGAAGACAGCATTGGGAGAGAGACATGGTTCTAAGCCCAGGAAATGATACAGTCTGGTTTGCTTTTGAGAAAACTCACTCTGGCATCAGTAAGGAGGGCGGATGGGAATAAAGCCAGCCAAGAGGCAGGAAGGGCCTTTAGGAGGAAATGTGAGATGTGGAGGCTAGTGCTCAGGCAAGAGCAGTGAGGTTGGAAAGGAAGGAATAGACACAAGGATAACAGAAAGAGGACTTGTTGACTGGTTGGATGTGGGCTGTGAGGGGGCGAGAGGAGTCCAGGATGGTTCCCAGCTTTCTGTGTTGGGCGAGTAGGTGGATGCTGGTACCGCCACCTGAGGCAGGGCCTTTAGGAAAGTAAGCAGGCAAGAGAGGAGCAGGTGGGAGAAGAATGAGTTTGTATCTGGACTCGTTGAGGTTAAAGTGCCAGGAGTTAGGGATGAGCAGGTGGAGCAGAGCCCCAGAGAGAGGCTCTTCCCTGTTCCCATGAGGAAACGTCCTGGAGGACTCATTCCTGGGCAGGGCAGAAGTACGCGACACCCAAGCTGGGGGCCTGTAAGGTGCAAATCATCAACTGTCGAAACGAGCTGGCTCCTATGACAAAACACGGACCACATCCCCAGTCTGAGGAGACGACGGTCCTGGAGGATCAACAAGGCCAAGGCAGAAGTCTTGATTTCTCACTTATTTATTCCTCATGCTCCCCTGCTTGGGAAGTGACACTACCGTACACCCCAAAGTTCAAGCCCAAACCCTAAAACCTACCCTTTCATGCCTGCGTTTCCCTCTCCCCATCCACCTCATCGAATTCGTCCTCAGCCACCACTCCATCTCAAACAGACCCACCACTCTTTTTTTTTTTTTTTTTGAGGAAGATTAGCCCTGAGCTAACTGCTGCCAATCCTCCTCTTTTTGCTGAGGAAGACTGGCCCTGAGCTAACATCTGTGCCCATTTTCCTCTACTTTATATGTGGGACGTCTACCACATCATGGCGTGCCAAGTGGTGTCATGTCCGCACCTGGGATCCGAACCAGCAAACCCTGGGCTGCCATAGAGGAAGATGTGAACTTAACCGCTTTGTCACTGGGCCGGCCCCGACCCACCACTCTTGATCCCCCATCCTGCTTTATTATCTTCATAGCAGTTATACTATCTAAATATACTATCTAAAATACTATTATACATCTGTCTACGTGTTGACTGTCTATGTCCCCTTTGGAATGTAAGCTTGAGGAGGGCAGGGGCTTTGTCCTGTGCTTCACTGTATCCCTAATGCCTAGAACTGTGCCTGGCACACTGCAGGAGCTCAGTGTTTTGTTAAGTGAAGCTTTTGATCAGAGTACTTCGCTCCCTCGCTGTTGCCACCACACTGATTCAAGCTCCCACACAGTTCCCAGAGAGCTCCTGGAGCCCCCCAGACTTGGTGACTGATTGCATGTGGGCCAGGAGGGTGAGGGAAGAGGCTGAGGTGGAAAGGGAGCCTAGTCTTTCCCTTTCCAAGTCATGGCACCTCTCCAACCCACCCATTCTCCACAAGGCAGCCAGAGGCACCCTCTAAAATCCTAGATCATGTCACTCTTCTGCTTAAAATCTTCCAGTGGTCCATGAGGCCCAGCATACCCACCTCTCCAACTTCACCTCCAATCACTTTACTCCTTGTTCTCTACTCCCCATACTCTGCCTCTGTTGCTCACACCAAACCCATCTCCAGTACAGTCCTACCTCTGTCTTCCCCAGTAATTTGCATGGATCCCAGCTCATATGCCACCTCTTCGGAGAAGCCTTCTTGGACCATTCAAGCTAAAATACAGCCCTCCTCCTGCAACCCCAGGCACCCTCTAGCACATCAATGTGGTTATTGCCTTCATATCACTTATGACAGCCTATTCTTATTTACCAACTTGTTAACTTGATTATTATTTCTCTCTCTTTTACTTCTCTGCTCCACAGCATGTACTCCAGGGCCTGCTACATAGTTAAATCTCGGTTAATATTTGTTGGATGAAATTGTTCTTCCACTATCACGATGGTCTTGATGCCAATGATGCTCATACTAATGGCGCTCTCCCACAGTGAGATGCCCGTTTGAGTTTGTGGATCCATGGACTGACTGGGGCATGTTCTTGACCATCTAATTAGAGACAGAATCCACTGTTACAAGCTTGGTCTGGGCTTCGAGGCTAGGATGTGTGTGTGTGTGTGTGTGTTTACTTCATGCCAGGAGACCTCATAGTCTTCATTAGGTACAATCTACCACCTGTCTCCATGAACACCCACTCAGTAAAAGCAAAATGAGAATGTATCAGGTCTCCTCTATCACTTTGCAAGATGAGGTGATTTACTGTGTTTGGTAGACAATAAATATTGAGACAGGAAGACAGTCTCTTGGCCCCTTTAGATGCCCTTTCCAGCTCCTGCACTCACTCTGCCGGGAAAGATTTTGAGGACATGCTAGAGAAGAGAGAAAATGCAGTTAACCACACAGTGCTGGAGGGAAGCATTGGGGCTGATAGCCAACAGGGGCTGCAGAAGAACGATTCTGGCCAGAAACTGAAAAAGGATGACCTGTCAGTTTCAATAACACTGGGAAAAACTTAAAAGAAAAACATAGTTGAACGCTTCTCATATTGCCCCTGGAAAAGAGTCATATTTTAGTGAACTTCAACAATCAGAGATGAAGAAATCCCAATCATTTCATTTTACTGATGAGTAATTCGAAACCCAGCGAAGGGAAAGGACTTTCCCAGGGTCACACAGAAATTCCGTGGCTGATCTAAGACCAGAATTCTCACTATTCGAAGTTCAATGTTTCCCTGACACATAACATCATAGGTGTAAACCTAACTTTTAAGATAAATTAAGCTAAATCAGCCATGTGTATGCTCATCTCTGTCCGAAACTCACCCAGATTCCTATGGCTTCTCATTTCTGCCTCGCCTTTCTACAGCCAGCCTATCACAAAGCATACGTGTCACCCCCCTCCCACCCAGCCTTTGACTTCCAAGATGATGCTATCAGAGTTGGGAAACAACCAAAAGACATATGTTGGTAGAGAGCAGAGTGTGCACACGAGACTTACAGAACCAGCGGGTGAATCCTATTAGACATTGAACATTCATTGAAGCCATGGCAGATCAGAAATCACAACTCTCACCAGATAAAATTGTGGGAAAACAGGACCATTTGAGAATATCTGGGGTTCTGTGTGAGATGAATTGATGAGAAGGAAAAAAAGAGGAAAATAAGATTAAGTCTACCACTCAGGGTTCTAAGTTATAAGGTCACACATCGGGGAGTTCAGAAGGATTTCTATAAAAAATATAAATAAAAACTTATTTCTAAACAACAAATGTGGAACCTGGGATCAAAATAAGAAAAGATAAAACCACAAAGCACCAATAATCAGATGAGGGTTCCAATCCTAAAAAATTACCTTGGGCACACAGTCTAGATACTTAACCTTTCTTCCTTATCTTTATGATAAGGATAACAATAGCAATAATAACCGTAGCCCTCACTTACTGATCACTACCTACATGACAGGGAATGAGTTAAGCACTTTATATGCCTTCTTTCATCTAATCCTCACCTCAATCTCATGAAACGTAGGCATCATTATTTCCAATGAGAATCAGAGAGATGAAGTAATTTGCCCAAATTTATTACCAAGTTGTAAGACCAAGATGTGAATGCAAGTTTGAGTTCTTAATCACTAGACTTCAAAGGGTGGATGTGAGAATTATATTTAAATTAAAATTTTAAAAGTAAGGAAAGCCTCTTGCAAAGTGCCAGGTCTTAGTACATGCTCCCTAAATGGTAATTTGTGTCCCTCCTATCCTTGTTTACAACTCTCGTCTTATCCTCCACAAGGTAGAAGCAATAAGACTCAGTTCTCAAACCATCTGTTGCTAAAGTCATTGAATTCCTGGTCAGCTAACTGGGGGACAGATGTGGAGGAGGGGCCAGGGAAAGATTCCCAACACCATCCCTTTCCGTTCTAGCTAAGACTCAGAATCTAGGAGGCATAGAGAAAGGAGTGCCCTGGCTTTGCTGTGAGATTTTGGAGCATTTAATTTTCTTCTCTTGGAATCCATTTGCCCTTTGGAAGGAGGGAGCTGGGCTGCAGGGCCCCTGAGGAGACCATAGAACAGTAGCAAAGAGCATGGGCTCCGCAAGTGATTCAACTTCTCAGATCCTGCCCCATGTTCAAAATGAGTGATAGATAACAAAATGAATAATAATTGTACGTAGTTCACAAAGTTGCTGAACTAAATCACATAATTCACAAAAAGTGCTTCATAGAGAGCCTTGGACATGGTAAGCATTCAATAAATGTTACCTATTATTGCCATTATTATTATCATCATCATCATTCCAACACCAACATTCGAGTCTCTAATAAGCCAGAGGACTACTTTAATTTACAAATGCATTCAATGGTCTAAAGAGGGGCTCTAGGACCCTGTATTTAGCGCTTCCCGGGCACAATGACCAGATTTTCTGCCTCCATGGGACATCTGTGACCTAGACAGCCATGACAGTACCGCAAAGAGCGGCCTTCCTCTTCTCTTTCTGCCGCGGGGCGAGGCCTGAGCCCTAGACTTCCGCAGCCCGCCCACAGCAGTCACCATTGGCCGCCTCGTCGCTGGCGTGATTAAGGCCCCGCCCCCTCCCCTCTGGGACCACTCTGAGGCCATCTCCGGAATCGGAGGGGCCTCGGAGGCGGGACCACGATGCATCCTGGGCTTTGTAGTCCGTCTGCACAGCTGCAGCCCGAGAGCGGGCTGTCACGACTCGGAGAACTACAATCCCCAGCAGCCCGACGGCAGGCGGAGTGGGGGGGGGGCCCGCGTCACGTGGGCGCTGGGCCTGGGCGGGCTACTTCTCAGTGCGGCGGCGGCGGCTCGGGGGGCCGGGGCCTTTTGTCTGGAGCGGCTGCGGGAGGCCCCGGAGCGGCGAGGCCGGCGGCCTTCCCCAGCTCGCTCGGTCCCGGTCGTCCCTCGCTGGGGTGGGGGGGCCCCTCCTGGGCCGGGCCCTGCCTCTGGCGCCGCCGCCGCCCCGCCCTAAGCCCGCCCCACCCGGCCTGAGGGGAGGAACCGGTCGGGCCTCCCCGCGCGGCCCAGCCGCCTCCGGAGTCGCCGCCGCTGCCGTCCGTGCGCCGGACCGAGGCTGCCCCTCGCCCCTCAGGCCGACGCCATGAAGATCAAGGATGCCAAGAAACCCTGTAAGCTGGGGGTTTGGGCCCGCGGGTTGGGCGAGCACCTTGCGCCCGGTCTGGAAGCCCCTTGGCGGAGCGGCCTTGTTCGAAGCCGGTCGCTCCTCGCCGGCGCCGAGCGCGGGATGGGGGCGGAGGGACCATTTCGGCCCCGGATCGGAGGCTCCCTCCCCATCTCTCTGCACGAGCGTGACGAACGCCTGCCGCCCCCTGGCCCTTTCCTCCCACTTCCTCCTCGAGATCTGGGAGGCGCAAAGGGGAATTTTTGATTCGGGGTTTGCCGAGCGAGACTAAGAGCTACCAGTCCGCGCTCCTAGCTTCCTCTGAAGTCAGGTTGAAAATGGGTGGTCATGGCTGTCACTTTGCGCGGGGACATTTACCACCCTTTTTTACTGATTTCTGGGCTTCCTTCTTGTGTCTTTGAAATCCCGGTGGGTTCCTGGGAGTTGTCACTGCTGTTACCATTAGAGCTTTTAAACACATGTGGATGTAACCTGCCCGTGGGTAATTGCCTCGACTTGTTTTTGTTTAGAATAACAACTAGTTCGTTTGTTTAAAAAAAAATACCGATAAACGAAATGATAAAAGTCACTCCTATTCCCGCCACTCGGAACTAACCACTATGCATATTTTGGTGAATACCCATAGCGATTTTTCTACGACTGTATATGCCTGTACTTCTTTAAAAACGTTTTTTCCATGCTTTGAGGTCAACTTTCTTTTGCTTCCTTTTGTTTTTAGCCTTTTAACAACCTTTTACTCCTGTAAATGGCTTATTTAATCACTCAGCCATTATGGTTGTCAAACTTTAAGTCCATTCTTCCAGAGCAACTAGGAATGTGGGGATGCATGCTTGTATCTTGAATTGCATCGATGTTTTGCAGTGTTTGCAGTGTCTCATGTGATCCTCCCGACAGTTCTGAGAAATTTCTTGCTGTGGAATCGAATACTGACACCTTCCCTTCGGGCCCATCAGGGTTCTTGTAAACCTCACAGGAGAGGCATCCTACCAAAGCACGTTGAAAACTGTTAATTGTTGGTTAAATGTGAGATAATTCGGTCTTAATTTTACGGATAGGAAATTGAACTTACTGAGCCTGGGTAACTTTTCCGAGGCTGCACCAACCAACTAACTCTGTGCCATGAAGTTCAGCGCCCTAAGCCAGCTGTCTCCTAGGCCTGTGTTCTTTTGCCCGGGTAGGGCAAAGTGTAAATCCTTAGAGAAACACAAACTTTTCTGATCTGGTAGTTTTATCTGCCATTTAAAAAGAAATTTTTAATGATGATTTCTTGCGTTAGCTAAAGAGTTCTTGTTCAGGGGATCTAAAATAGCGATGGAAGGCTTAAACGACAAAGTGCTATAGGAACACTTCTAATTTACTTTACATTGGCTGAATTAAGCTGATCTTGAACAGATGCAGTAATGTAGAACACTTGGACATCTTCCCTCAACACATACATTTCGTCTGCTTGTCTTAGAATGGCCATTTAGTAAAATAAGTTTAACTGTGACAAGCTCATATTCGGACTCTTATGGTATTTATTATTTTCTTTCTGCCATCATAGTGACTTGATTACTTAGATTTGGGTAAACTTGCAATCAGTACGAATACCACCTTTGTCAGAAGTGTTTCAGCAAAGATGATAATTAAAAGTTTATAATATAGACTTGAGGTTGAGACATAAAAGAACACCTATTTTTTAAAAGTAAGTTGCTTATTCTTATTACTGCATTGTGGTACGTTGTGAGACTATTAATGTTAAAATAGAGTCATGCTGAAAAACTAGTCAGTTAATAGGATTTAGAAGTCTAAAGTAACATTTCCAGTTTCAAAAGGTGACTTTACTGCCTGCTCAATTCTTTCCGGTAAAAATAGGGAACATTTTGTGTGGGCAAGGAAGTATTTCACCTGTGAACTGTCGTGGAAATACATATAACTGGAAAGTGTTCTTCCTAATTTTGTTTATTTTAAAGATTGGCACCTGAGCTAACAACTGTTGCCAGTCTTTTTTTTTTTCTTCCTGCTTTTTCTCCCCAAATCCCCCCGGTAGGTAGTTGTGTATTTTTAGTTGTGGGTCCTTCTAGTTGTGGCATGTGGGACGCCGCCTCAGCGTGGCCTGATGAGCGGTGCCCTGTCAGTGTCCAGGGTCTGAACTGGTGAAACCCTGGGCCTCCGAAGCCTAGCGCGAGAACTTAACCACTCGGCCACGGGGCCAGCCCCTCTTCCTAATTTTTTTAAACCACCCAGGTTAGCTAAAGGTATATTTGTTTGTTTTGTTTTTGAGTACTTGCGTGGGGTTTTTTTTAATAATTATAAATTTAGTGAGCACTTAGTAAGTGTAAAGCACTGTCATTGCATCATTTCACCCTTAGAACAGCACTAGTCACAAGAAGCTGTATCTCCTACTGGTTAAACAAGTGGCTTTGGCTTCCCACACTTTCTTACATTATTCACCTCAGTGCTAGAAAACATTGCCTTTAGATACATCACTAATATGTCACCAGGTTATAAACCAAACGCATGTATTTAACCAGAAAATACGAAGCGAAATTGGTTTCATCTTCTAGACTGTATCCCTAAAAGATAAGCATTTGAAATTGTGTTAATTCAACCGCAGGGGAAGGGTGAAGTCAAACATTAACCTAAGGAAAAATTTTTGCTGAGAACCAAATGGTGTTGTTTGTTTGCTTTGCCTTTACTTGTGTTTTTCATACTGATTAAATGTTAGGTATTAAAAATCCAAACAAGCACGTGTTCCTCTGTACCTCAGCTGACGTGATTTCTTAAGGTTTAGGTTTTTCAGCCTTTGTTTTGCTTACCTGTGCACCATGTAACTTGATTAACAAGGTGATGGTAAAAGGTACATACATTTTTTTTTTTTTTAAGATTTTATTTTTTTCCTTTTTCTTCCCAAAGCCACCCGGTACATAGTTGTATATTCTTTGTTGTGGGTCCTTCTAGTTGTGCCATGTGGGACGCTGCCTCAGCATGGTTTGATGAGCAGTGCCATGTCCGCGCCCAGGATTCGAACCAACGAAACACTGGGCCGCCTGCAGCGGAGCGTGCAGACTTAACCACTCGGCCACAGGGCCAGCCCCCCCCCCCCCTTTTTTTAAAGTGTTTATTTCCTAGGACAATTTTTTTTTTCTACTTTATCTCCCCCAACCCCCCCCCCAAAAAAATTGTATATCTTATTTGCATGTCCTTCTAGTTGTGGGATGTGGGACGCCGCCTTAACGTGGCCTGACGAGCGGTGCTATGTCCGCGCCCAGGATCTGAACCCTGGGCCCCCGCAGCGGGGCGCGCGAACTTAACCACTCGGCCACGGAGCCGGCCCCATACATATTTTTTTAATTTGATGCTGTATAGGTTTTTGAGTCTGTCCTTTGCTAACCCATACAGTAAGGTACCTGAAGTTTTTGTCAAGACCAGAGAGAAGTATGTAGCATATGTGTGTAGTTTGCTTCTATATAATTTGATTGGCTTGTTTGAAAATTGAGTCATTACTCAGGAATTACCGCTTCCAGTAGATAATAAGGTGCAATTGGAGATGTTAGCTTCTGATATCCTCTTAGGTGCAACTAATTTACCAAAGGGAAAAAAATATTTACCTGAAGCTTTTCTGAGGAATTATAGTACTGAAGGTGTGTGAAGATGGTTATTTTCTTAGTCTGTTTCAAAACACCAGCATTTTAATTTGGAATGATTATTCGGAAGAGTGAAATGTCTTTTATCCAAGTACTTGAAGTGTTTTTGGAATTGACCAATGCACATGCCTATTTTAGAATTTTGTTCCTTAAAATAATCCAGTAATATTTTGAATATTTTCAGTCTTTGGTTTCTCTTTCTGCTAAAGAACAATTAAATCCTAATTTGGCATAGGATCCCCTTGGGATCAAATCTGCATGGGGCCAGTAGCACTCAAGTAGTTCTTGAATGCTTCTCCCCCACCCCTTTACCAACACTCAGCAAGATACCAAACTTTTATAACACAGCTTGTTAGAAATTAACAGTCTGTCCTTGTAGTGAGGTATCTTCCTATGTTGAATCATTTAAAAAGATGTTTGAACATGCAGGTTTCTTCTTTTGTGTACGTAATCTACCTGGTAAGAAAGATAATTCTTGGTAGCACTCTATGCTTATGATAGTTCTGGATATTTTTGTTACTTATGGGGAAGTAAAGGCAGCTCTCTTAAGCTCAAGTGAGAAATAGAAGCTCTTATTTTTTTGAAGGGTATATAATAGATCATGAGAGATTCTAGAAAATTCTTAAAGTCTGGAGAAGGTAATGTATACTTGCCATAATCAGAGGACTTATTTATAGAGTTTGTGTTTTGTTTTTTAAATGTGTATTTTTATTCATTTTTTTCACCTTGGCAGTGGAGAGTTTTATTCTCACAAGAATAAGAAACATTTAGGTTATATGCAGTAAGTAGGCTGCTTATGCACTCATGACGTACTTTTAACCTGCCCCTTGGCTAGAAGGAACAAAGCTATAGATACAGATACTTTCCTGATTTCTTAGAAAACTGAAATTTTTCTTACCTCATGGCACTATTAGTGGACTTATGGTCGTACTTATCTCATACTTTCACTGCAAATAAATAAAGTTTGAGCTTCATGCTCTCTCCTCCTTTCATTTTTGTCAGTGACAAAATAACAAACGTAAGTATTTTTTTTTAACACATGGAAAATGTAAAAGTTGTAATTAGACCACTTGCTAAATGATAGGAGTGGATCATACTTAGGAATTTGTGTCTTCTGTGTTCTTGTTGCCTCCCCCATACTTTTTGAATGGTGATTGTTTCTCTGGTGTAAGGAAATGAGTTTCAGAACTCTGCTGAGTTGAAAGGATCTCTATACAAAAGGTGGCCATTACCAACTTTTTTTTTTTTCCTTTATTGGAGCCACTGGCAAGACTTGAGTTCTCTTTCAGTCTCTACCTTCCTGATTTTAAGAAGAAAATTGTCACAACTGAGATCTGCTAGAAATAGAAGGGACATGTAATGTTCTGGTTTGCATATTATGGTTACTAAGAAATTCACCGTCTGTGATATGGTATCTCTAGTTACCCATCCTTTAAGAACAGAGAGCACTAAAAGAACAGACATCTAATAGGCTGGATGTGAGATGTCTTGCCTTTTTGTATTGTTAATTTTAAAAACCTACCTCTGTGGGCAGTAACCCTTAAGGAAATCCTATCGTTTTTCTAATGTAATTTGCAGTTATTTCTTAGAATCTTCTGTTTTTCTAGTCAATTATACAGACAAGTGGGTCGCACAGAGGTTTAAAATTGAAGGGTAATATTCTGTTTCATGAGTTTCCTGGTTGGTGGTGGTTGTGTTATTCTTTATGCCTTACCTACCATACACATTTTATAATATCCTTCAATATTTAATGTAATTTAAAATGAATAAATGAGACATTTAATATACTGTAATAATATAGCTTTGCTTACAAGTGTTTTTTCCTTTTTGTGTAAAGTCTTCTTTTTGAGATAGGACAAGTTTGGTTGTTTCCTGCAAATAGATCAATAAAATCCTTTTAAAGAAGAAGTAATGGAAGGTTTTTGTTTGTTTTTCTTTATTATTTTAGTGATAATTATACCTAAACAGTCATTTTCTTTCTCTGGGAAAGAGTCAAACAACACTTTTGTGCACTCTAGACTTCAGAAACAGGATTTCCTTCAGTGAGCCCTTCTACTACCTGCTCCTAAGTTATGTATTTTGGAATTGGCTGTTGATATACCTTTGGGGTTAAAAACCTTTCTGCTCATGCATAGCTTTAGAAAAGTAGGTAATTTCTTACTCTCCAATATTTTATCTATAAAGTTGAAATATTTTCATAGACAGTAAAGTTCCTTTGAAATTTAATTCATAGTTTTGTATAAGAATTAAAGGTTCTTCAGATAAGTGTTAATTGGAGTTTTTGCTTTTAAGAATGGCAGTGTTCAGAGCCAGCGATGATATCAGCCTTGTGGTTAAAGTTCAGTGCTCACTGCTTTGGTGGCCTGGGTTTGGTTCCCAGGCGTGGTTCCTGGGCCAGAACCACACCACCCACACCACCCGTCAGTTGCCATGCTGTGGTGGCGGCTCACAGGGAAGAACTAGAAGAATGTACAACTAGAATATGCAACTGGGTACTGGGGCTTTCGGGAGGGAAAAGGAAGAAAGAGGAAGGTTGCAGCAGATGTTAGTCTAGGGTGAATCTTTCCCTGAAAAGAAAAAAAAAAGAAAACAAGAACGGCCGGATTCAGGTATTTATAAATGTGTGACCACGCAGGGACTTCTGACTGAAAGTAAAAATGGCATGAACTTTGAACCTGGTAATGCTTCAGCTTTGTAGTTTGCTCCCTGGGTAACCTTTTTTTTTGTATGTATATTTTGACACCTGTGTGTGTTTGACACTGTCAAAGGCACAGAAAGAAAAACTATAAACATTAAATGATTTTTAATGTGTTTTGAATTTTGGAAGGTGAAGGTTTTTAGCTTAATAAATCTCACCTTGTAGAAATTTTTCTATCGTAAAATGTACTTTATGTGGAAATAGTGATTTCCACAACCCCCTCCCCATGAAATCTAGAATCAAATACAGTTCATTTTGGTTATGTAATATTGGAAGGAACCCTATGTTTTATCTAATGCTCATTGAAAAGTGTCCTCATTACATATCTGTTCAGTCGATTGGGAAAATTCTGAAGGAATCTCTGGTGTATTGGATCAAGAGAGCTGTTACATATTGTTTTCTTTAAATCTGTTTGTCCAAGCGAACACTTGGTCTGAATTTCCCCTCTGAAACTGTTGGTATTGCTGCTTGCTACTACTGATTTATTTGAACAAGGGGGAGAAAGGTGATATGTAACTTTTTACATGAATTTCTTTAAGCAGGAATCCTAGATTTCATGAATAAACTGAAAATGAAATTTAGTGATAGCACATTTCTTTTTACCTAAGGATATATTATATGGTTTCTACTTTTTTAAAAATTGTAAATGGCCTATCATTTGTTTCAAGAGTATGTTAACTTAAGATGGCTTCCATTGCTAGCCACCCAGCAAAATTGAGAAAATTTAGTCAATTTCTTCTGCATCTTAGTTGTTTATACAACTAAGATTTGTTTATTATTTGTTTAAACAGATCTATAGGTGACGTAAAAGCATAGTGCTTGTTTAGGGTCTTGTTGCCCTACCTTCCCAAATTATGGTCTTAAGTCATTTTACTTTTTTTAAAAAAAGTTTCTTTTTTAAGATTGTCTTTAATGTAAATCTAGATCTGCAACATGGGTTTCAAATACAGAAACAAGTGAGCTATTTCTCCAGGAGAAGATACTGAGAATTACTTCTTCTTCGTATCCAGTATAATTTAATGATTTCAGTAAATGTAAATTCTAAAATAGAGAAAATCTATAGAATCCTCTCATTGAATTGTATGTTCCCAGTTTCTAATGGTACACATGTATCTAAGTAAAATATGACTATTTAGGAAACAAACTAGAATTTTAGAGAAAATAGTTTTCCTTAACAACTTATACATTAAAAAACTATTAAATACATTTTATCAGGTATTTTGTAATCCATGTATGTTAAGTATTAAATTATTTTTGATTCTCTGTCATTATGATTAAGATCCCAGAGAATAGAAATAGACCTTAAGGAAACGAAGAATCAGAGAGGTTAATGTCTTTTCCAAAGTCATATAGCCCAGTTAGTGAGAGCACCAGGTCCCAAACCCAAATGATGCTGCCTGCCCAAGTGTGCTTGTTGCCAGTTAGACTTAACGTTCAACATTATCACCAGCGAATTTTATTAACCAGATGTACCAAAGAAACCTAATATGCTGAATGAACAAAGAAAAAGATTTCTTTTTAAGGAGGTAATTTTCCTTGGGTTACTTGAAGTGATTATAGGCCAATTTTATTACATTAAAATTCTTATAGAAATGTTTTCAAGTCCTAGGTGATGACCTACTTATTAAAACAGAATTTGTCCAAATTTTTTCTAATCCCCTGGGGCATATGATGAGTATTTAATAAATGAAAAGGAATGCCAACCAACCCAGGAATGAAAAGTTCCTGGGCCAGCTCCAAACATCCTATATTAGGGATTTTTAGAAAATATGCACAGTAACGCTGAAGGGGAAAAGGGAGTTGCACATAGAAGACATGCCTTTATTTCCTAAGTATTATTGACTGAATGCATGATTTAGGGTAAATGAAGTTTGTGGCTAATTAACTAGTCCCTAATTTTCATTTCCAAAATTTATATGTATCTGTATGTATTTTTTTTGATCCACAGCCTTCCCGTGGTTTGGCATGGACATTGGGGGAACTCTAGTAAAACTCGCATATTTTGAACCTATTGATATCACAGCAGAGGAGGAACAAGAAGAAGTTGAGAGCTTAAAAAGCATCCGGAAGTATTTGACTTCTAATGTAGCCTATGGATCCACTGGTATTCGGGATGTACACCTAGAACTGAAGGATTTAACACTTTTGGGCCGAAGAGGGAACTTGCACTTTATCAGATTTCCAACCCAGGACCTGCCTACTTTTATCCAAATGGGAAGAGATAAAAACTTCTCAACATTACACACGGTGCTATGTGCTACAGGAGGCGGTGCTTACAAGTTTGAAAAAGATTTTCGCACAGTAGGTATCTGTTACTCAAAGCCAACAATTGATACCCATTCTCTTCAATTTTTAAAATAGGAGACTAGGTTTCCATCTAGCTTGTTTCTTAGGTTAGTTCCCCCTGCTGATGCAGAGGAAGTATGTATTCATGACTAGTGTTTGATTTCAGAACATTTAAATACCTTTATAGGACGAGTAAAAATTGCCCAGATTTGGGCTTGTTGTACATAGTATTTGGTAAAACCTGCTAAGTTTAGAGACTGCTGCAAAGCTACAATAAAAGGAGATTTCAATGAATTTGGCAGTGTACAAAGCCATATATAAATGGGGTTTGAATTTTTTCACTATTATTGTCCTTTGTTTGCATGGCTTTTTGAGTATTATCCATAGTTATCTTTCCCAGGGCCGTCTCCTTCCCAAACCCCAGCTGAAGCCAGTGTCTTGATTAGTCAACACCTGAATGAAAGTGTCTGTCAGCCGTTTTTTCCTGGTTTTATACCATCAACCCTACCATGTTCATCTCAAAGCGGGTTGTTTGGAGATGGCAAGAGGACTATGTAAGCCTTGATTTGAGTTGTGTGCTAGTAGGGGTTTGCCAAGCTTCTAATCTTTCTCATTAGAATAAAGATTAAAAGGTTGGTATTTGGGGCTGCTGAAATTTGTTTTCCTTGAAAATATGCATGTGGACCATTTGGTTTCTCAAGTTTGTGTAAGAAAAGTCTCTTAATAAAACATAAGTGACCACTTATATGGCTTACGTAAGTGAGCCCCTTGTAATTTGAGGTAGTTTAAAAGTCTAAATTTTTATTAAAAATTTTTTTTCTTTTGATGGATTATACTGATTTGTATTCAATTTATTGAGTAATTTGAACATAAATTTCATGAATTTGAGACTAGTTTGGACATGTCTTACTTAATGTTTGCCAGTATTCTTGCCAAAAGCGGTCTCCTTGAAGCCAGCTTTCACCTGGCCAGATGCTGGTATCCAAATACGGAGTTGTAATTTTTTTTAATAAAGTATTGATATTTTCTAGTGGTGAAGTTCTAGATTTGTTTTTGTTGATGCTCAGTCATTTATTAAGCTAATATTTGAGCATCTAGTGTGTCTCAGGTATTGTGATAGACACTGAGAACTCAGCTAGGAATAAAGACAGAATTAATGCTCAAAGAGTACAATATTCTAGACCACACAGATAAATGAATTATATGTAAAAATACAGTGCCTTATAATTAATACTATGGAAAAAAGATGCCATGGGGGGCCAGCCCAGTGGCGCAGCAGTTAAGTGTGCCTGTTCCACCTTGGCGGCCCAGGGTTTGCCGGTTCGGATCCTGGGCGCGGACATGGCACTGCTTGGCAAGCCATGCTGTGGTAGGCGCCCACATATAAAGTAGAGGAAGATGGGCACTGATGTTAGCTCAGGGCCAGTCTTCCTCAGCAAAAAGAGGAGGATTGGCAGCAGTTAGCTCAGGGCTAGTCTGCCTCAAAAAAAATAAGAGGTGCCCTGGGAACACCAGAGGAGTGGTACCTAAGAAGTCCTAGAAAATTGAAAAGCTTCCCAGAGGAAGTAATGTCTAAGCTGAAATCTTTTATAATGAATATTTTATAATCCTTTACTAACCTGAAGTGAATTTAATAATTTTAAACTTGTACCTGAATTAGAAAGACAGGAAATGAAGGTATATATATATATATAGTAGATAGGTTATCTAGTATGATCACACAAGAGGGCATAATGAAATACTTAGAAGGCTTGTGCCTATACATAGATTCACCATGAATTCTAAAGCCACAGATGCTAGATTGATATGGTATGCTTTACTGGAGAATTAAATACCATAAATGGTGACATAACTTTCCAGGATGCTAACAACACTTGGTAAAATTCCAAATAATAAAAAGTACAGTATTTCTTAAGTTTATATGGTGGCTGCATTCCTAGCAAATTTAGTATGTATTAAAATCATGTAAAGTATACTTTGTGTTTATGTACATAGATCAGAAAAGTACTTTGTGCTTACATAGGCTCAGATAACTATAAACAAATTTTCCTGCTGCCATCTACAAAAATGTCTGTCAGAATGCTCAAAGATAATGCAGGAATGGGATAATTCTTTGCTTTGCACAACTGTCCCACCCATTGCTGGCGTCTGGGCATCCCAAGTCCCTGCCAACTAAATGTTAGTGTGGTCCTCCTTCCTCCCCATCTTTGTGAAAGCTAAAATGTCCCCACAGATTTCTCAAATGCCTCCAAAAGTAATGCCACCATCGCTGAGAACCACTGGGCTAGATGAAGTCCCTAAGAGATTTTGGCATGAAACACAACACGTGAAAATGTGGGGATCATAGATGATTTTGAAGTTTTGTAAAGTACATGAAAATTATACAAGACAGTTGAGTCAAGTAGTTTGAATGCTGTCCTTTGTTCACTTCATGAAACTTTTGTCTTTTTTTTTTTTTTTTTTAAACAGATTGGAAACCTCCACCTGCACAAACTGGATGAACTTGACTGCCTTGTAAAGGGCTTGCTGTATATAGATTCTGTCAGTTTCAATGGACAAGCAGAGTGCTATTATTTTGCTAATGCCTCAGAACCTGAGCGATGCCAAAAGATGCCTTTTAACCTGGATGATCCATATCCACTGCTGGTAGTGAATATTGGTTCAGGAGTCAGTATTTTAGCAGTCCATTCCAAAGACAACTATAAACGAGTAACTGGGACAAGGTAGTAACCTTTTTGTTCTTATTGCAGCATTCATGTTGTTTTTTTATACACAGAAGTTGTAAAATCAATATTTTACTTCATCAGGAAAATAACATGTATTTGTGCAGCAGCAAAAAATGTAGATGTATGGGCTGGCCCAGTGGCGTAGTGGTTACGTTCGTGTGCTCCACTTTGGCAGCCCGGGGTTCGCCAGTTTGCATCCCAGGTGTGGACCTACACACTGCTCATGAAGCCATGCTGTGGCAGTGTCCCACATACCAAATAGAGGAAGATTGGCACAGATGTTAGCTCAGCAACAGTCTTACTCAAGCAAAAAGGAAGCCTGGCAACACATGTTAACTCAGGGCCCATCTTCCTCACCAAAAAAAAGTAGATATATACGTTAAAGTGTTGCAGATAATATTGTTTTTTAAGGTATGTATATAAAGACTCAAAATCATTAATTTTTTTTTTTTGGTGGAGGAAGATTAGCCCTGAGCTAACATCCACTGCCAATCCTCCTCTTTTTGTTGAGGAAGACTGGCCCTGAGCTAACATCCATGCCCATCATCCTCCACTTTTATATGTGGGATGCTTGGCACAGCATGGCTTGACAAGCAGTACCATGTCCACACCCGGAATCCTCATTGGCGAACCCTGGGCCGCCGAAGCGGAATGTGTGAACTTAACCACTGCGCCACCAGGCCAGCCCCACAAAAATCATTAAATATTTATATTTGTTTAGCATCACTTGGCATCAAAACTTTCATAATGATGAGTGAGTTTTTATCTGGAATGATTCCAATAACTTTTATTTGCCAAAGCATTTTTCTTCTTTGCTTATTTTTCACTTTTTTATAGGTGTATTTAAGCCTAAAGTTTGCCACATGTTAATTCAGTTCACATTTAAGTGGAGTATTGGGCAATATTGTAATTAATTCTTGGAGGATGAATTTAACATGAGCTCTTGATGGGATAACATTAATGTTCCAAATATCCCCTAAAATTTTTTGTAAGACCTGAAATATAAATGTGAAATGAGATTTTAAAAGTTTCCTTATGATTCTGATATGTACTTTATCAACTTTTAAGGAGCGTGGAGACTCTTACTTATTAAATTGAGGAAGAAAGATTTTTGGAATACTTAAGATTGATTTGTGAAAAAACTCATTTTATTTTATTTTTTTGAGGAAGATTAGCCCTGAGCTAACTACTGCCAATCCTCCTCTTTTTTCTGAGGAAGACTGGCCCTGGGCTAACATCCGTGCCCATCTTCCTCTACTTTATATGTGGGACGCCTACCACAGCATGGCTTTTTGCCAAGCGGTGCCATGTCCGCACCCAGGATCCAAACTGGTGAACCCCGGGCCGCCAAAGCGGAACATGTGAACTTAAACCGCTCCTCCACTGGGCCGGCTCCTCATTTTAATTTTGAAGTAGTTCTCCTACATAAATGATCCTTAAGTTTAATTAGCATTTTATTTCTGTGGTGGCTAAAAACCTATTTCCATTGTAACTCTTTATGCCAACAAATTACAAGGAAGTATTACCTATTTCAATCAATTCTAAAAGACGGAAATTCAGTCTCTTAATAAATTCCAACAGTGATTCAGGGATAGAACCTGTTAGAAATTTAGGTGAGACTAGGGAGCAAAGGTTTTAATTTTAGAGATTAGAGAGATATGACATTTTGTGCACATATCCAAAAAAATAATAGGACCAAGTAAATTTCTGTCATTAAGATGACCAGGCTGACATAAATTTTCTCAGTGTATTCATTTCTGGGTCATATTAAATGTTAATGTATCACAATGAATTGATTTCAGTATTGTCAGCCCAGGTAAATACGCCTTTCGCAAAATCATTTCTTGGAAACCATTTAGAATTACAAGTTTTCTCCTTTTAATTCATATGGTTACTAATTTTTAGCATTTACTCCTTTTCCAAACACACAAAAACATTTACTTTTAGCAATTACAAAGTGGAAGACATCAGGTGAAGATATGAAAGATCTCCTTCCGTCCTCATGTTGTTTCCACCAAGTGATTTTTATTCCGTTTGGTTTATTCTTTGATAAATTTGGTTTTACTAAACATTTTTCTTACCTTTCTTCATTATGTTAACATTTCAGTACTCAGCATCAGCAATATGTTCTTCCTGTGTGTTACTGAATAAATGAATGCTCCACCCTTTTACTTTGGAGAAAGAATACTGTTTGTAAATAGAACTTATCAAGTTTCTTTATCTTTTTAGCCTTGGAGGGGGTACCTTTCTGGGTTTATGCAGTTTATTGACTGGCTGTGAAAGTTTTGAAGAGGCTCTTGAAATGGCATCCAAAGGAGACAGCACCCAAGCTGACAAGCTGGTCCGTGATATTTATGGAGGAGATTATGAAAGATTTGGTCTGCCAGGCTGGGCTGTAGCATCTAGGTAAGTTTAACACTTATGTTGTAATTAGTGTTGCTTATTTAGTTTTTAGAAAGAAATATATTAGGAAGTTGTAAGGGGACTTCCTCTTACCTAGTTTAGATTCTAAGTTTTGAACATTCATGTAGTTTAAAAATTAGGTATACATTAAGAAGTCTGCCCCGAGTGTACCCTATAGGATTCTTCAGTATCTTTTTAGTGCTTCTTTATGTAAATATAAACACATATCCTTATCCTCCCCTTGTAGAGAAGGTAACTTTTAGAGGGTAGCATTCGTATGCTGTTATATAGCATACTGTATGTACTCTTCAACCGTAATATGTCCTAGTCTGCCTGCCTGCCTCCCCCCTCCCCTTTCCCTGCCCCACCTTGTTAACACCTGCATTGTATTCCATTGTGTGGCTGTGTGATCATTTGATGGAATGTTGGGGTTGTTTCCAGTGCTTTGCTATGTATAGTTCAACGGGTCAATGAGTAACCTCGTACACACCTTATTTTGTACATGTGTAGATTTATCTGTAGGATAAATCCCCAAAATTATGAAATGTTGCTTGTTATCAGCAGATTTGGTTTTATTTGTTTCTGTTTTCTCTGCAGTTTTGGAAATATGATTTATAAGGAGAAGCGAGAATCGGTTAGTAAAGAAGATCTAGCAAGAGCTACTTTAGTTACTATCACCAATAACATTGGTTCTATCGCACGAATGTGTGCTGTTAATGAGGTAAAAACATTTTTAATTATGAAAAATTTGAATTGGAGTTGAATGTACATGTAGCAGGACTTCTTGTTCCTTAAGGAAGCCTCTGGGATTGAGATTTCCTGATCCATTAAATCTCAGGACTCATGAAGTTGCATGTTGTATACCCAGTTGTTACATTACCTTTAAAGAAAGTCGCAGATAATTCAAGTCAGAAATAGAATACATATTTATATTTCATATTTATCCAGAAACCCTTTCAGAAAGACAAAACCTAAATCTCAAAGATGCCAAAGAAAATTCTAAACATAACACAGTTTGAAGTAACTAACTATCGGGGGGGGGGGGGTGCTCTTGATGTTGCGTCTGACTAGTGGAGTCCTTGGAGGTTTCCTCACTGCCCTCGGCTTCTTTACAGTGCTGCCTTGTTGCGGATGGATCAAGCAGCATTGTACAGGGCTATGAAGGCGTTGAGACTTGTTCTTCACTTGAAGTGTGCGTGATGTCTGCTTAGGAAAGGCATGTACTGCTAGATTGGCCTCTTAGTGGGGTTATTTTTATTTGAAGGAGACATGTTGTCCTCCTTTTTGTAAGATACATGTCCATTTAGTTTTTGTAAGTATTAAATACTGTAAATGAATTGGGAAATTTGCCGTTTGTAGGAACCCTTTGTTCATTCATCCATTTATCGATTCACTGAATGAATACTTACAGACTACCACGCGCCAGGCATTGTTCTCGGGATGCAGGGTACATTAGTGTAAACACAAAGCTCCCTGACTGTGTGGAACTCACATCCATTCTAGTGATGTATTAAGTTTGTTTAGCATGGATTACGTGATAAGTGCTATTTTTTAAAAAGAGAAAATCAAACAAGATAAAGAGAATTGAGAGTAGACCAGACAGTGGCAGAGGACAAATTGCTGATAATTGGGTGCTTAAAGGAAGGCTGTATTGGACATGTGACCCTTGGGCAAAGATTTGAAGGAGGTGAGAGAATCGTGGTACAGATAAAGGTCAAGAGTGGCCTCCAGCAGAGAGAGAAACTGTGCAAAGACCCAAATTAATCCTCTGAATTATTATATGTTTAAATCCAGAATTCTGTCTCTTAAGTTTCTTAATAACAAGGTAGTAAGTTAGTGGGAGCCACTAGCAGACGTTTTAACCCAGGTTTTGGGAATATTTCACTTCTGAGGGCTGACAGTAATCTGGGATCCTTTTTTTTTCTTTTTCTTTTTTATAATTTTTTTTTTTTTTTGAGGAAGATTAGCCTTGAGCTAACATCTGCTGCCAATCCGCCTCTTTTTGCTGAGGAAGACTGGTCCTGACCTAACATCCGTGCCCATCTTCCTCTACTTTATATGTGGGATGCCTACCACATCATGGCTTGATGAGCTGTGCCATGTCCACGCCTGGGATCTGAACTGGTGAACCCCGGGCCACCAAAGTGGAACATGCGAACTTAACCACTGCACCACTGGGCCGGTCCCTGGGATCCTTTTTCTTAGCACTGTAGGTCTAGATTTTCACTGGCCAATTGACTTAAAGAGTAATTTAGGCCATAGTTTACACTATTCCAAACTCAGTGTGCAAAAATGTATACTCAAAAGACAATATATTATTGTGAGAGTAGAAACAGGTTTTCTGAAGATTAAACACCAGTTTCTCCATCTAAGAGTTCCTAATCTTAGAGGTATCTAAGGAAACAAATTAGTGAGCGGCATCAGCAGAGAGAATGACTTGATGGATTAGGCTGGGAATAGAGGATGCTGGAAGCCTAGGGGTTGGGTGTGCGACCTCATGCCCCAGTCTGTGTTGCTCTCCATCTCTGTATATAAAATCCACAGGTTGCATGTCATTGTTGAGCACACATTGCAACATACTGGCAAATTTACACCTTTTTTTAATCCTAAACACATTTAAAATACTTTTCCTTGGTTTGTCTTCTTTAATCTCATCTGTGTTTCTCCAAATTATTTTGTTAAATGGATTATTTATTTGCCGTTTTCAAAAACAAATTTCATCTATAATCAGTTACTAGGGCCTTTCCAGAACTTTTCTTTGTTGAAGTAGAATTTATTTTTTAGAGCAGTTTAGGTTCATAGCAAAATAGAGTGGAAAGTATAGAAAGTTCTCATATACCCCTGATCCCACAGGTGTACAGCCTTCCCCACTCAGAACACCCAGCACCAGACTGGTACGTTTGTCACAGTCAGCCTACATTGGCACATCATTATCACCAAGTGCAAAGTTTACATTTGGGTTCGCTTTTGGTGTACATTCTATGGGTTTTGACAAATGTGTAGTCACATTCCTGAACCAAATTTTTAAATGTAAGGATTATGGAGGTATGTACCAGGAATGTAGTAAGCACTAATAAAAGATAGTAGTTGTTTACATTTTTAAGTAGAGATTTTGTAAACCCTATTGTATTGTAATATTGACTTAATGATTCTTTTTTTAAGTCATTTTTCTTGTTTTTTTTTTTTTTTAGAAAATAAACAGAGTTGTCTTTGTTGGCAACTTTTTACGTGTCAATACCCTCTCAATGAAACTTTTGGCATATGCACTGGATTATTGGTCAAAAGGTCAACTGAAAGCATTGTTTCTAGAGCATGAGGTATGATAGGAAAATAATGTTTTGTGGATTTTACTAGCATGCTTTTATATGCAGTTTCATGTATTGCTCCTCCTTGCTCTGTATTTACAAGTAGAGTGTAAGACTTCTGTTTACAGTAGTGTGGACCCCTCACTTCACTCTGAGCTGGGAGGATAGGGGTTACTGTAACCTGGCAGACACACCATTGAGATGAGAGCTTCACGGTTCTTCTCTCCAAGGGAGAGCAGTATCAGAGCTGGGAGCTCCTTAAGGACTCTGGCTGCTTGTGTACTTAGTGGATTTGTTTTCTTATATTGTTTTGTTTTTTCTCTCCTGAGATAACAAATGCTAAATGTGAACATACAGACATAGGCAATTTAGCAATGAAAATTCTCCTCAGTCCTCTCCCACAACCTTACCCCAATCTCCAGAGGTAACTGCTGTCAACATTTTGGAGTTTATCCTTCAAGATTTTTTTTCCTATTCACTACATTCGGTTAAGTTCTGATCTGAGCAAATAGCAGTTCACATAATGTTTTCAATTAAGTGAACTCACTTTGACTTATTTTGTTTCTGATCAGTCCAATGGATATATTATTAAGAATTTCAATAACACAGATTCAGAGTGTTTGTTCTGCTCTTATAGGCCTCCATGTTGCATTGCCACTGCTCTCACTGAGAGACCAGAGTGGCATACTCTGTGCAGCTCCACGTGGCATGCCGCATGCTCTGAGAGGGGCAGGTGGAGCCAGAGGAATCTTGTTGAGGAAAAGAGAGAGGGGCACAGAACTGCAATAATAGCCCTAGAAGCTTTCATGTCTAAAGGCTACACTTTAAAAGTATGTGTTTCAAAGGTATATAAAGAATGCGGTTTACGGAAATTTTTTTTACAATAGGTGACAACACAGAAATTGGTAGATTTCTGAATAGATGCTCTTAAATAAATTATACATAAATAGTGGTTCTTAATAGTGGTTAATATTTATGCTAACGTAAAAGCTGCACTACATTAATAATTGTTTGAAATTACACAGGGCTACTTTGGAGCAGTTGGTGCACTTCTTGGGCTGCCAAATTTCAGCTAAAGCTTCAGGTTTCCCTCTGCTGATAAATGTCATCCAAGAGGAAGTGAAAACCAGAGGCATTGTTACTGCGTTATTTGTAACTGGGAACCAAAGGATAAAAGAGTAGCACTATTCCTGTTGACTTTTCAATGTCAAAATGGTAAGCTGCTAAATGTTGCCATATTAAAAGAGAGAACTCTGTAATGTGAAGTGTTTCTGATTGAAATGCTTTCCTTTCCGTATATAGCCAGTGTTAAGTCTTTAAATGCAATACAGCCTCTGATTATTGAGCTTCCTCTCAAAAAAGATTTTCTATTTTATGTAGCCAGCATTGCAGTACTGTACTCTCAAACACAAATCTTAAAGTCTCAGAAATGTTTAGCTCATGAAGATAAATTGATTCTGAATGTTTTGTTACAAGTCTGTTCCATGTGTGTTTTGGTTACTAGTAAGTGGACAGTAACATACCCTGTATCAAAACTTATTGAAATGGCAATCAAAGATGATCATTTTAATGTGATTTTAGAAATGTTAAGACAATATTAATTATTCATTATTGTAATTTTCCTAACATATACCCCCCCAAAAAAAGCATGTTTATGTGATCTTTTTCCAGAAGTATAACCTTTTTCAAATGCCATAATTTAATTGAAATACTGTTAAACATTAGCCTGAATTTCAAAAGGAATCCTAGAAAATGCACATAAGTGGTGACACTGCACTTTCTGTATTTTGTGAGTTAATATATTTTAAAATGTTTAATATTTTTCAGTTGGAGGTTTAATTACTTATTTGAAAGTCTCTTCAATGAGATCCCAGGACTATTCTAATGGAATATGGTTTGCGTGCATTCTAAGAATTCCAGGCTCTTTCTACACCACATTTATCTCAGACCCAAACTTAGCCATTTCTGTTTAACTAGGTCTAAACCATCAAAGTGAAAGACTTTACTCTATCATGAACAGCAACAAAGTCACATTTATTCTAAATGGGTGTTATGGAAATCTAGATGAGTTGTTAGGAAAATTTGTAGGAGTCTGAGGCAGCATTGCAGAATTATAAAAGGATCAGTGTTTCGTACATTCTCGTAGTACAAGTGTTATAGTTCCAAAATTTGTAAATCCTTTTGCCTCGGAATTTGTTCTCTATATTGAACTCATTTTGTATGTTACAAGTTTTTTCAGATTTTTACTTTGGCAGTAATATTTTGGAAGTCTAGTAGTTTGCCAAAGTTGTTCAAGACTGTTGCTTATGGTTTAGGAAGTAGAGAGACTTGGGGGAAAAAATATTTGCCTCCTTAAATCTTGGATGTACCTTGAAGAGCTTAAAATTTGTTTACATTTCAAGAAGAAAGGAGTATTCCTTGTGTTTTTACAGAACACAATTTCGCTCCATAGAGAACAATTTCCATAGACTGTCAAGAAGTGCTTGACCAAGACATTGCTCCTTGTTCTCAGATTTTGTGCTCAGATACTTAAAGTTCAGTTTTCTTTATCTAAACACATAAATATATGAATAATAGTGACTATTTAGAGGGGAAAGCATGTGAAGGTAATTATTTAGAATTCAGAATATTTGGAACTTTGAATTCATGTCAATCTGTTAGTCATTTTGAAGACCTACAATGAGTAAATTTTTCTTACTTTAATGTTTCCATTGTAGTGACTAGGTATTTCAGCCAAAAGCCACCTGTTCAGTTTATTTTAAAATTTTGTGATTTGGGCATTTGTACAAAAGTTTTTATCTTTAAATGATGATAACTTTAAGTTGCGTACCTGTGGCAAACCGTACATTAGCAGCTATAGGTTTGGGGCTGTATTTAAGAAAGAAAATGGAATGGTCAAAGTCTATATAAGTTAATTTGATCAATACTTCGGTTAATTTGGGGCTTTCATATTTTTTGTCCTTTGAAACTGAAGATACCTGCTAATTTGTATAAAGTGAACAACCATCTCACCAGTGTTGGTCTTGGTTTTTCTCGAGTGTAATCTAGACTCCCTGGAGTAATAAGTAAGAACACAGAATTGGGATGAAGGCTGCCAAGATTCTAGTTTTTGATTATGATCTTAAGAATATCCTTGTAAGCATGCAGTGGCAAATAGGTTTGGTTCTAATCCGAATCAGCATAATGCCTCAAAGCTCTGTGCTCCTGAACAGTGCTGTCTTAATGGAAGTAAAATGTGAGCCATGTGTAATTTTACATTTTCTAGTAGACACATTTAAAAAGTCAAAAGAAACAGGTGAGATTCATTTTAATTTTATATTTCTGTTTAACCCGGTATATCTGATAGGTTATCATTTCAACATATAATCAATATAAAAAGTCACTTAGGAGGTATTTTACTTTGTTTTGTGCTTAGTCTTCAAAACCAGTGTATGTTTTACTGTTACAGCAGATCTCAACTTAGACTGACCACATTTCAAGTTCTCAGTAGCCGCATTTGGATAGTGGCTGCTGTATTAGTGCAGTTCTAGAACTAGCGCTTAAAAATGAACACTAGCATGTTTCCATTAAAACTTTATGAATATGGGCTTTTTAAAGACTGTTTGGGAGGGGGAAATATGGGACCCTTATTTTTTAAATACAGAAAGGGCGATAAGCGGTAACTCATTGGGGCTAGTTTATTTTACACAGATAAGCTGTATTTCTGACCATTCCACAAATACCTTACATTGCGTCCTGCCATCTCATCTTAGTGTGTATCATTTTTCCAGTGACACTGATGAGGTTGCCCAAGGCATATCCCTGACTGTCCTGAGCAGTCTCCAAAATGTATATCGCCTTCTCAGAGGCAAAATCAAGGATTCCAGTGACTTAAATCCCTCCCCTCCCCCTCCTAATTGAACTTTGAGGAGCCAATTTTACAAAATTAAAAAGAGAGCCTTTTAATTCTTCACTGAGTTCTGTACACACAAGAGAATCTTCTTTATAGCTTTTAGATTTAATTTACATTCTTAAGAACTGCTCATATTTTCACCTGAAGGAGCACTGTCAGTTTGTTTGGGGCTTGGTGACACAAGGTCTGGGGCCTTCTACCACCACTACTACCCCCCCAAAAAAGATTACCCTTTTTTTCTTTTTTAAGCTTACTTTTATTATTATTTTTTAAATTTCTTTAATTTTTTGAGGAAGATTAGCCCCGAGCTAACATCCACTGCCAATCCTCCTCTTTTTGCTGAGGAAGACTGTCCCTGAGCTAACATCCATGCCCCAAAGACTGCCTTTTAACTAGAGACTTTCAGAACGAATGGCCTCCAGCTCTTCACCCTCACTTCTCCAAAGGCAAAGTGTTAGACTGGCTTGCCTGTCGACATGGGCATTGCTTCTTTAACTACTCTAATTTAAATAGGTGAATTCTTAGTTTAGGTAAAGTCAGTGCCATTGCCAATAATATACATGGTAACTGGCAGTCCTTCTAGAGATTCAGATTATTTGCCAAATATTAGACTCTGTAAAGATTCCTGAGTTTTTTTACGTTTGTGTGCAAATGCGATTGCTGTATTCTAAGTCCCAGTTCCTGAAAATCCTTTTCTGTAAGACAAATGAGCAGCTGAAAGGGAAAAGTTATCCTCTATGTTCAGCGGTACTCTTGCCTTCTAGGAGCAGTCCACCACATCTTGCCTTGATTTCTAAGGTTGAGTTCTTGGGTAGAAAGCTCAGCAAGGCAATAGTTTCCAAATGCCCTTTATAACCACTCTGCTTGTTAATATGCAAAATTTTTCATGTTTTGTTTGGTGTATTTTTTTCTGTTGAGCACTTTATGCTTTTTAGTCTATATTGCATTTGAGAATGTAGATTAGAAATTCTTTCCCCTTTAAAGCCCTGTAAAAAACTGATAAAGGATAATCACTAGAAAATGAGTGTGCATTATTTTGCATTTAACTTACTGTTTTGTGATAGTAGAAACAAAATTTTAGAAATATATTGCCTTTTTGTAATAAGACTCTTTGACGTTATTTAAGATGATTTGCCATGAAATGTCAATGATGTCCTATTTTCCCAATAAGTTTATTTTAATATGTTTTCTTCTACTACCGGAGGAATTCAGCCAACTTGGTTTCTATCATCAGATAATCTCAGAAAATAATTTGCTTTATCTATCTTACTGCCTGTTTTCAATATTTGAGACACTAGTTTTCTTTTCTTATATTTTCTGCTGAGCCTAGTAATCAGCAAAGACACAAAAAACGTAATTTTTAAGCAGTTCTTACTGTTTGCATTCTCTCTCTTGTGTATTCAGTGGACATGGGATCATAATTTGGTATTGTATTAGAAATAGTGCCAGCCACTGGTCTAACTTCTTTGAATGTTATTTTCTTTATTTGTGAAATGAGCGAATTGATTTGTTAAAATGGGAAACGACTCAGTTCTCAGGACCCTCAGAAAGACAGTTAGTTGCTCCATTCATAGCAGCATTTGAAATGACAGACGATTTGTTCTGGTATTTGGCGTTAATTTTTTTTGTATATGTTGATAGGTTCTAGATTTTGGATTCTCACCAAACCAGTATGATGGCATCAGTTATTCTCTCATAATGTTATGTTATTGAGTGTAATGTCTGAATAAGAATACCTTGAAATAATATGAAGGGTTATATATATATTAAAGTGTATGTGTGTGTGTCTGAAATTTTTTGTTAACTTTAAAATTATATGGGCATTATTATAACTTTTCCTTTGTACAAAAACATCCCACTAAATTCATAGATGTTTGAATATTCAATATATTTGGGATTTTTTTTTAGTGACCCTTTTCTGCAAGCTGTTACTTAATTTCTGATCATTGTGAGTGGGGACAGATGTGGGATAAACTCTTCTGGGATTATTTATTGCTTTTGTTAAACACAATTCATAGGGAAATTTATGAAAAACATTTGTAATTACGTGGAGGTGAATTGAAATATCTTGGCTTACAATCATCCACATCAAATATGATGAAGAACTAAAATGCTTTTATCCTTAGGATTGTCTGAGAATAATCAGATTGGACATATGTCTGACATTCCCAGTTTACTGTTTAAAATAAACGTAGCAGTGAGTTGGTACTGGGACCTCACATTCTACAGTTAGTGCTGAATGATGTGTTTGAGGGAAAGTTGATTTTTTTTTTTTTAAAGGAAAAAGTCCAAAAGATCTTTATATTCTGGCTCTTTCTGTAGACAAAAGGTTATTTTTCTTTTAGATTTTCACTCTTTTTTGCTGCAGCTGTCACTAATTTTGTGTTTATAAGAACTAATGAGGAATGTCTTTTTCAGAGAAGTGAATGAAGTTAAAATTCAGGAGTTTGAATTGTATAAATTTGCAACTAAATTTCCATTCTAAGATACTGCTGATATTTTTTTTTTTTGCTATTTCTTAACATCTTTTATACACTGCAGTGCTCTCAGTTCCAATAGCTTTCAGAGAGAACATTCCAGCTTTTACATGGTTTGTAAAGTATGCATAAATAATACAAATAGTTTGAGAGTATTTTAGCATTACCCTCTAACTCTGAATTACGGATATCATACTTGCCACAGTCAGTAGTTGTTGCAGATATTAAGCCATTTTGAAATTTACCACTTTTTCTGAGGTGCCCTGTTTTAGTTTACAACATTTAGAAACAAAAGATTATAGACCTAACATCAATATCCTAGTCACTTTGTCCCAAATATAATTAATGGAATTAGGATGTAAGTCATGTTAAGATGGTTTTATCATTTTTTTATACATTGTGTTTTCACTTTTTATTTGAACTAGGGTGAAACTTTGACTTTTTAACTGAAGTTGGAGTTTTAATTCTGCCCAGTTATTGACCAAATCATACCAAGATGTTTGTGTGTGTTTTTACTTATACAAGCCATTTCAGTTTGAGTTGCCTTATTCTCTCTATTGCATTGTTCTTATCAAGTCTAAGCTTTGTCATGTTGGAATTATTCTAACACTGAATCTGTGATGTAAAAATGTATGATGTGCTACAAATTTTATTCATAATAATCTAAGTTATAGCCTATTGTAACCTATAAAACATTTCTTGTAAATTGTCTAATTTATTTTTTCATTTATGTACAGTTTCTTTTGTAAATTTTTAAAATATTTGTTGTGGCCTGTTCTTTAACATTCAAATACTCTTTTCCTTAATGCTTACTTGCATGAAAAAAGAAGTTCTGTTTTGCTTGTTTGTATCGTATGGCCATTAAGCCAATTTCAGTACTCTGCTTTTTCTGTAGTTTAATTTTTTTCTAGTTTTGTTCCTATTCTAAATAAATGTTAAAATCTTGCTTTTTATGTCCTACTTTCCAAATAAATTCTCTAAGTTGTTTACTCTGTGTATTTTCTTATTTATTTTATATATTGTACTCCCACATTTTCACTGATGGTGAAAAGTAAGGTTTTAACTGAAATTAGCTAGAGTAGAATGTAAACTCTGAGAGCAAGGATTTTGTTGCTCCCCGCTGTCTTCCCAGGACTTGGCAGAGAGAAGGCGGTAGGGAAAGCAATGCTTGTTGAGTGACTGAATTGTAGAGAAAGTGTCCTTCTCTCGCTGGTCTGCCTATAAGACAGATGTAACCATAGTTTCCCTTACCTCCCTCTAACATTACAAAGCACAAATGTTCGTTTCTCAGAGATGCAAACTTTCAGGAAATTTAAGACTCAGATTTATTAACGTGAAAAGCTTTGCTTTTTCTTGAAATGAGGCCATGTTATCCTACACTGGAAATGAATGTCAGCAACAGAGAAATTCTTAGATGTGCTCCACAGGAGAGATGCCAAAACATATGCGGCACTTGGGTATTTCATACATGCTTCCTCTAAACCAAAACTTCATTTGTTTGTTTTTAATAGGCAATGCCTGTTAGCTTTGGGTTGTTTTTTTTAATTGTTTTTGAAGATTTTATTTTTTCCTTTTTCTCCCCAAAGCCCCCCGGTACATAGTTGTATATTCTTCGTTCTGGGTCCTTCTAGTTGTGGCATGTGGGACGCTGCCTCAGCGTGGTTTGATGAGCAGTGCCATGTCCACGCCCAGGATTCGAGCCAACGAAACACTGGGCCGCCTGCAGCGGAGCGCGCGAACTTAACCACTCGGCCCTGGGGCCCGGTCTCCCCACCCATGTCTCTTGTCTATTGACATGGTCCTCAATTGAGTGTATTGTGTGTTGAGCAAACACTGTTAATGTTTCTGCATCTAAAGTCTATTGCTCACTTCCTATGTGTAGCTTTGTAAATTCCTATTTTAAGGTATTTCTATGCTGCTGGTTTTTGAGGGTTTTTAAGTCTTTTCTAAAATAAACTTGGGAAAGGACCCATCTCTGGGGACTGTAATTCCTCCTTTACATAAAATATTGGTACTTTTAATGTTTTCCTAGAGGTTAACAAGACACCCCAAAAGCATAGTTGAGTGGACTTGTAGGTAAATAAGTGCACGTCTCCAGCCAGGGCCTTAAAAGTAACCGTTCCAGTTTCTGGAAACAGTAACAAAGATGACCAAGATCAGGAAGGCATGTTCTTTTGGAGTGAAGAGCCTAACAGTCATTTTTCTCTAGCAAGAGTTTGAAGTCAGCTACCTCCAGTTTGTTTGCAAAAAATAGCATATGTTAAACATGTCATTCGGAAAATTCAAGATCCTGACCTTAAAAAAGGTAATATATGTTATGTAGGGGTTTTTTTAATGTATCATTTTAACAGTTTGAATAAAAAATCCTGATACCTTGTGTTTTCAGATTTCCTAGGACACCTCTTAAGGTTTTCAGGACAACTCTTTAATACTTCAAAGAATGGTTTCAGTTAATTTATAACTACTGATTTTTGTTTACTTTTGGTTTTGGACTTGTTTTATTTTTTATAATCAATTTTATTGAGATATGGTTTAAGTACAGTAATATTTAATTGTACATTTAGTAAGTTTGAAAAATTTGTACACTGATGTAACCACCACTCCAAGATATTTCTATCATTCCCAAAAGTTCCCTTGGCCTCCATCTTAGTCAGTCCCCTCGCATCCCCATCCCCTTGGCAAACATTGATCTGCTTTTCTGTCACTAGATTCAATTTACTTTTCCTAGAGTTTTCATGTAAGTGGGCTCATACAGTATGCACCCTTGTTTTCATCTCCCATTCCCCATCCCTCCCAGCTTTAGGCTTTCTAGACCTACTTTGTGTTTATAGATCTACCCATAGTGTGTGCTGTTGTGTCTGACTGCTTTTTCTGGGCATAATGTCTTGAGGTTAATGCATGTTGTATGTATCAGTGGTCCATTCCTTTCTACTGCTGAGAAATATTCCATAGATTGGATATACCACAATCTGTTTATCCATTCACTTGTGCATTAGTATACAAGTCTTTGGATGGACATATTTCTTTCTTTAGAGCTAATAGAGGTAGAATTGCTTGGTTGTGTGCTAACTGTTATGTTTAGTTATATAAGAAACTGAGAAACTTCCAAAGAGGTTCTGTTTGCTCTGCATTTGTCGACACAGTGTTGACACATGCTTCTGTACATGGCAGTATCTATCTATGGTTTTAATTTGCCTTTCCTTGATTGCTGATGACATTGAGCATCTTTTCTGATGCTTATTTGTCTTTAATATATCTTCTTTTGTAAAGACTATTCAGATCTTTTCCCCAATTTTAGTTGTCTGTCTTATTATCAAGTTATAAGAGTTCTTTAGTTAGAAGTCCTCTGCTGGATATATGTTAAACATTCTCTCCAAGTATGTGGCTTGCTTTTTATTTTCTTAAGTTATCTTGAAGAACAGAGCTTTTCATTTTGTTGAAGTTCATTTCTCATTTTTTTCCTTTATAGTTTACACTTTTTATCTCCAAAGAAATCTTTGCCTACCCAAGATCATGAATATTTTCTCTTGTTTTATTCTATTTTGTAGTTTTAATTTTTATGTTTAGGTCTATGAATCCATGAGGTAGGGGTGGAGGGTTTGTGGACTCTTTTTTTCCCCCCTATATTTCCTCTATTCTCTCACAGTCTCTCTATTTACATTTAGAAAGCTTGATTTTTTTTCTTTTTGAGGAAGATTAGCCCTCAGCTAACTGCTGCCAATCTTCCTCTTTTTGCTGAGGAAGACTGGCCCTGAGCTAACATCCATGCCCATCTTCCTCTACTTTATATGTGGGATGCCTACCACAGTATGGCATGCCAAGCAGTGCCATGTCCACACCCGGGATCCAAACCAGCAAACCCCGGACCACCAAAGCAGAATGTGTGCACTTAAATACTGCACCACCAGGCTGGCCCTTTTTTTTTTTTTTTTTTTGCATATGGGCATCTAGTTGTTCCAGCATCGTGTGTCGAAAAAACTATCCTTACTCCTTTGTAGTTGTGCAGGTCCGGGGATTGGAGGGAGACAGGAATTAGAAAGGATCAGGAGGAAACGTGTGGGAATGATGGATATGTTCATTATGTTAATTGTGATGATGGTTCCACAGGGGTATACCTGTGTCAGAACTCGTTGTCTCTTTTAAACATGTGTTTACTGTACACCAATTATACCTCAATAAAGTTTTTTTTAAAGATACAAAATAACCACTCACACTTGTGTCAGCACATCCAATTCCCTCTCCTGATTCTAATTATGAAATTTATGGTTTGACCAATTCTGGACACATAAAAAAACTAAATTGCTCATTTTTTTCTTGGGTTCCTTTCCATAATGCTAGTTTAGTCTGAAATCTTCCCAATGCTGTGAAGAAAGGAAGTCTCTCTAGAATCTTCAAAAGATTTATTTCAATAAAGCTGGAAAATATTTAAAAATTAAAATTAAAGGAAAAAAAGGCTCTTGGTGTAAGAGCAAAGTTAAGATTAGAGATGTCCTAGGATCTTTCATACTCCAAAAGACAGTGACCAGTCAAGTTGGGATATTGAGAATCCAAGGTTATAACATCCAAGCAAGAAGGAGCCATCAGCGTAGAAGCAGCAGAACAACTACAAGTACACAGGGAAAAGTGCAAATATCTCCATAAACACAATAAATATAAGTGGACTAAATTTGCCAATTAAAGGAGAGTGTCTGATAGGACTTAAAAGGAAAAAACATCTACATGCTTTTTTATTTAAAGATTGGCACCTGAGCTAACAACTGTTGCCAATCTTCTTTTTTTTTTTTATCTTCTCCCCAAAGCCCCCCAGTACATAGTTGTAGATTCTAGTTGTGAGTTCCTCTGGCTGTGTTATGTGGGACGCTGCCTCAGTGTGGCCTGATGAGCGGTGCCATGTCCTCGCCTGGGATCCGAACTGGCGAAGTCCTGGGCCGTCAAAGCAGAGCATGGGAACTTAACCACTCAGCCATGGGGCCGGCCCCTTCATGCTGTTTATAGTAGATATTAACTAAAGTAAAAGAACCTGGAGAGTTTGAAATCAAAAGGGTAAAAAAGATCAGGCAAACACCAAAAAATGTTTATGTAGCTATATGAAGAAAGCAAAAGAAACCTGAAGACAAAAGCCATCATTAGGAATAGGGTCATTACGTAATCACAAAAAGTTCAATTAACTGAGAAGACATAACAATTTAAAATACATATGCTTGGGCCAGCCCGGTGGCTCAGCGATTAAGTGCACACTTTCGACTTTGGCAGCCTGAGGTTTGCTGGTTTGGATCCCAGGTGCAGACCTACGCACCACTTGGCAAGTCATGCTGTGGCAGGTGTCCTGCATATAAAGTAGAGGAAGATAGGCACGGATATTAGCTCAGGGCCAGTCTTTCTTGGCAAAAAAAGAGGCAGCTTGGCAGCAGATTTGGCTCTGGCCTAATCTTGCTCAAAAAAAAAAAAAAAAAAAAATATATATATATATATATATATACACACACACACACACATATATATATATATATATACATATGCAAGTAATAAAATAGCCAGAAAATAAAGCTAAATGAAACTTTTAAGGCATGAAACTTCTATCATAGTGGATTTCAACACCTCCCTCAGTTATTGACAGTTCAAGCCAACAATAAATCAGCAAAATATAGGTTTGAACACTACAGCTAAGCTTGACCTAATGGACATAGATTGAATTCTGCATCTGGCACTAAAAGAGTACACATTCTTCTCAAGCATACATGGAAGCTTACAAAAATTGATCACATACAAGACCATAGAGTAACTCCCGTAAGACCACATTCTCTAAGCACATTGCAATTAAGTTACTTGTCAATAATAAGAGAAAAATCTATGTATTTGCTAGTAGCTTGAGAAGCAGTGTAGAGCAGTGGTTAAAAGCAAAGATTCTGGAGCATGGGTTCAAATCCTACTCTGACTTACTAGGCATACGATCTCAGGCAAATTTCTTAACCTCCATCTGCCTCACCAT